TCCTACACGATCGTAACCTTAAACAAATTTCTGGTGATGCTTTAAACTGTTCTTCTTCAGTAGGTCCTACACGATCGTAACCTTAAACAAATTTCTGGTGATGCTTTAAACTGTTCTTCTTCAGTAGGCCTATAGGTCCTACACGATCGTTGATCTTGAAAAATAAAAGCAAGCTACGGTACAGTGCCGGTACCTAAAGCGTCGGTAGACAACTCCACTGATATCAGTAGGCCCGTCGTTTAGTGCACATTATACGTCACAATATGTTTCCATGCCAATTATAAATAACAATTTAAATTAATTTTTGCCGTGGTTTTCACGAGGTTCTTTTCAGTTACGTGGAAGAAGAGAAACGAAAAATACATTCGACATTCAAAGAGATAAAATATTTTTTTTAAATATCACCGTTCATAATTTTTCATTTCTGTATTATTCTGTAATTAGGCCTTTTATTTAAGCTGAAAAAATATTTCCAGGAATAATATACAGGACCAAAGTTAGAATACAGTATTGATATTTTTACTTTTCTGACACACTTCTCGTGACTTATGAACGAACGGCTAGCTGCAGAAACTATCCTACACAGTAACGTAACGCCTATGCGCTCTCGTGCTTAGCAAATGTCTTAAGTCAAAATAGTTAAGATGTTCCTAAGCAAATATCCTAAGCTGATTTATCAAACCATTTTAGCTCAATCTAAGTTTTAAAATCGTCTTAGATGACGCATGCGTACAGTCGACTTTTTAATTTTCAGCTATTTTTCAGCTAAGGCAGTATTGATAAATCTGACTTTTAGCAAAAAAATGAACTTCAGACGAATTTAAGTTAATTGCTAGTTTGATAAATCCGACCCCTGATGCCCCTTACCCATAAGGTCCTCGAGTCTATAGCACCCTGATCCAAAAGAGCTTTGCTGATACATAACAGCATAATGTGTCTCTGACATCGACTGTAGGACACATAGGGGGCCTATCAAATTATATCCAGTGGGGGTGGGGTTGCCCATGGCCGGCGATCCAGGACCACCTACATTTTTTCAAAACTGTTTTTAAATGGAGATAAAAAGTCAAATATTAAGTCTGCGAATAATTGCTATTTCCGGCCATCTAGATTATCATAATTTTCTCACCTCAGCCCTAACCATTTGGGTTGAAGGTGGTATGGACCCTCCATCTATGAAAGTCCCTCCCTGTTCCCCTTTTATTTAATTCCTGGATCCGTCAATGAATAGGCCTATCATTTAATTTCTTTCGTCGTTAAAAACATTTAAAAATACAATGACAAACATGATATAAATCGAGCACATCTAAAATTCCACAACGGAATTGCCGACCGTGACGCAAAAGGGCCCCAGTCTCAGAAAGCCATAAGGCCCCTGTTCCCAGCGTTACGCCACACCAAGGTGATATTAGTCGACCACTCTTTAAGTTCTCGAGACCAACTGTTCACACCTTTCAACTATAGAACCAGTGGCGTGTCTAGAAGACTTGAAATGTGGGTGCTGATGGAGGACGCGAAGGTGAAGTGGGGGGAGAGGTTCGATGTTCAGTTGAGGGGCGTTAACTCGCAAAATAAGGTGATTTTAGGTGATTTTTAAGTGGTTTTGGGGGGTGGGGCGACTGGGGGTGCGTCCCCCACCCCTAGATACGCCACTGTATTTGTTCGATCTATACCTAAACCCCGACAGAATGTTGTAGCATGGCTACCTTGTCCCTACTTTAACCCAAATGTATAGGATTTAAAGTTCATAAAACTTTTATGGACAACCAGACGAGAGTTACGATGGAATCCTAAAATGGGTGAAAAATTTAAATTAAAACTACTGTTTTTAAAGTTAGTAAATTTGTCAGAAAACCAAGATGTTGGTATCACACAATTGAAAAGCATAAACATCTACTCAGGTTCGGTTTTCATTGGAACATTGTTCATGACCATCCTACATGAATTTGAACATCTAATACCTTAAAAGTTGTAAAAACACAAGTGATAGACCTACAATTCTTATCAATGGAGGAAAGAACCACCAGCTTCGGATACAATAGAGATTTATTTCAACCTTAATCAAGTCATACGATTAAAGTTCCAGGAGCCTTGTGGCAAATTTCAAATGAATTGAACATAATCCAGCTTTTGTATTACAATCGATCGGAATTTGTTACCATATATTTGATTGAACTTGATATCGGGTCCATGGGCCTATTTTACACACTTAAAGAGTATACTAATTAGAAACTTGATGAATACAGTACTAGTTGCTGATAATCACAATTTACGAGCACCTTTGAAGTTATACCGACTTTTTTAAGAGCTCCGAAAAAAAAAAGACAAAGACACGAAACACTGCAGTAGGCCTACTGTTTTAATCTTCATTTCACGTCGTGATTTTCTCTGCCGGATATAATTTTCCCACGCACTACAATAACACTTTGCAGAAAACTCGATTCATCGAAACAACAGAATCTTCTTTCGATATAGAAGTGACTGTGCTATGGGATCTTTGCTGGCGGATTTTTTTCAACTTAGCCATTAGATAAGCCAATCAGGAAAACGAGATTTTCTCGCCGTAAATTGCTACTTAGTGAATATGTACGTGTGCCAGTGTCGTCTAAATTCTATTAGCCACTATCGCAAATGACTCACATGACACGATTTCGACTATTTCACCGGGTTAGAGAGAGCTGAACAAACATGATGGCTTCGAGAAGGAGATCGTACACTTTTACAACATCACCAAATATATTTCGGAAACGAAGTTCGTCAAATCCTATTAATTTTCGAGTGGTGGTTCTTGGCACACCGGCTGTTGGCAAAACAGGTAGGCCAAACACTCTTGTTATATAATCTCAATGTACGTAACAACTATCTCATAGAAAGTGTATAAAGCAACTGAACAGTAATTGGGTTCGAACTCCGACGACAGCCATTGCTCCCCTTAAACTGTTATTTAGCTAAGCATTTAAATTAATTCTACATAGGCCCTAATCATTTAGATTATATGCTAACTGTAAAATAAAGTATTGTTTATTCATATTCATATTCATATTTTAATAAATAACACCGACGATTCCACAAGTAGGTCCCTAGCCAGCCTATCACTGTTGCAATTGTTTATGTGGCTTACCATCTTGAGCATTGCTCTTTAAATAGTCAATAACTTAATTGTATAGGCCCTACACAGAAGTAGGCCCTAAGGTCTCAATATTATGATTGATCGAAATAAGATTTTAATTTGAGTGTTTGATGTAGGTATAGCCTATTATTGTATAATCCGTTGGATACTGTTATCTTATCCGGGAGAGAAAAAAAAACTTTAAATTGACTGGGGCAGCTGACTCTCAATGAGTTATAGTAAAATTTTGCTTAAGCTGCCCCTGACCATAATTTTTGTTGTACTGTACCTTTTGTAAATGTGTATTGGTCGAATAAATAAATGAAATGAAATGAATGTTAATGACTAAAGAAATATTTACTAAGACTAAACGCTTGGTTATCCTTCTACGTTATAGTATTTTATTCAACTTACCTTTCAACTTAAGTTTCATATTTCTTCACCTTATTCATTTTATCCTTTGTTTCAGTGAACCTAAATGCGAACAAGTTAATTCCATTTTAAAACTTTGCCTACTTTTTAAAGTGGAAATATGCACCTAGTTACACACTGGCCAAATATTCATTTACAAAAGTTTAAAAATAAAAACATAGGCATAGTGTATTACAATAAAAAAAAATCATATACTGTACAGGACAAATGCTTCGTCCGGTTATACGAGTTTTTATGTATAATTAACTTATTGACCACATTTGTGACATTAACATGATGTCTCATGTTACAATACAAATATATGAGATTCCGTCACACAGGCCATGTGACAATTCTTCCAAGATGTAAAACGACAATTATTTAATGTCTTTCCAATTCCTTAAAGGCTTATAGAGTGTGCCTTTCACATTAGACTTACGTCATACGCGGAGAAATTGCGATTCAGTAAACGAAATAGACCTACGTACCGTCCCATTAATCTGCGTGATTTAAAAGACCTGACGTCACTGGATAAATCGTCCAATATCAGTTATAAAATGAATAAACTTACACGAAAAATTTCTTATGAAAAATGCTTAGTCTAAATTTTGTACAGTATATATATAATGTGTAGTATTGTTTAGAAAAATGTATGGTTAACCTGACGATCATAAATTGTTCTTGTTTTAACTTTTACAAATCTATTCATTTATTTGTTTAATACAGCTCTTATGGTGAGATATACAACAAGACGATTTATAGGAGAATACGATCCAACGTTAGGTAAGTTTGCAAAAAGAAGTGTTATCTCGTTATTGTCAGACAGTGGATATTCTATTTATTTAAAAATTACTTCAACAATATAAATACATGATCAATAATATTATGAGAGTGAACAAGATTTGTAATATATGAGTATATTAAGATATTTGTTTTCCAAAATGATATAATTATTATTAACAATAATATTTATTATTTTTCACGAAAGAGGGAGCCTACCTATAATGAACAATAACGTTATTAAATAGAATTGCATTATAAGTTTTATCTAACGAAATTTTTCCTTCTTTTTAGAAACTCTATGTCATTACAGCACAACAATTGACGGCGAAGCAGTAACCATGGAGATATTAGACACTGCTGGTCATGCGCAGGTGAGTTCAATGATAAAAAAAAACACATAATAAATTTACTTAAGAAGTACAGTATTTTAATTTCCAATTAACAGACACAGATAATGTTTCTAATATTCATTGTAAAAAAGATTTTGGCTGGTAACTGTAAGTTGATCCTTTGGGCCTAATGAGCTGTTTTATAATTTTCAAAAATGCTTTTTCTATATGTTATGACCTAATACAATGGCCTATAATGTGTTGGGTTTTAATGAATACCCCATCAACTTACACATAAGGGATCTAAAACTATATCACATTAAACCTGTCTGTTTCTATGTCTAAATGTTGTTTATTGTTGTTGAGAGTCTACTTTTAACTTTTGCCAGAATTCTCGTGGACGACTAAACTCGTATTCTTACTGGGGCGATGCTTTTCTATTTGTTTACTCAATCACCGATCCGCTAAGTTTTGCTGAAATCCTAAACATTCGGCAGGTTGTGAGTCAAACAATTGGGTCAGATCATGTGCCCGGTGTACTTGTGGGTAATAAGGTTGATCTTGAGGATAATGAGAGGACTATTAGTGAGGCTGAAGGTAGAATTCTTGCATCGCAAATGCAAGTTCCATTCTTTGAAATATCAGCCAAAGATGGAAGAGAAATACAAACTGTAACTGAGGTGTATCAAAATCTGTACCGTGATTGGCGCAAGAAACAACTCAATTTGGACGGCTCCAGGAAGACGAAAATTACGTCACAATGGAAGAAAGCAATCAACAAACTGATACGATCAAACAGATACTCGGTGTGATTACTTTTGTAAAATATTAAACTGAAATATATGTTATTTACAATTTATGTATTTAAAATTGAGAAGCTGATAAGACATTCTAGTAAAGGTCTATGCGAGGGTTCATGCCCCTTGCTACAGAATTAAAGTAGGCCTACTGGATTTTTAAATTACCGCAAGCTTTTACAATTCCCACTTACGGCATTGTTAATGGCTGAGTGATAAAACGTGGTGAATATCTTGATATTCATACATTTTGCGAAGTAATGTGCTACTTCTAGACCGACATACACCTTTAGCGATGTCTTCGAAGATAATTTCAACTGGTAATGCACCTTTTATTTGCGAGAGTTATATTTTATGGTCGGTATACATGTTGACTTTAGACTTTGTGTCTTTGCATCAAATCTCTGTGCTGATATACTGTAACAATTCGAAGATTGAAACTTTTCATACCTATGCCCATCATATTTTAGCAGAATTACCGGTAAAATTGGTAAACTATAAAATTATACTGTGATCCGTACGCCTACCATACATACATA